TTGGGATGAAACGGTACACTGATGCAGCTTGAATTTTCATGAAAATGGCTGTATCGTTTCACCCCTAGCCAATATAACTAAGAACAGTTACTAGATAAACATGAAACCATCCACATATCATACCCATAATCATGATAATAGATACTTCATTTTCAGAAGTGAATTTGAAATTCTAATTCTTGTTGTGATATTAGATTGAAGTGAATGGTTTGGGTTGCGGGTCATCAAACAAGTCAAATTTTAGAAATTGTATCATCTTGTATCGATAAAGAAAAATATTGTTATGCATTGTTTCATTGCATGAAAATTCAAGCTGCATCAGTGTACCGTTTCATCCCAAGTGTTGAAGGTGGCTCAGGACCAATACAGCCTACTCACACAGCCTACAGAGCCTGCCAGTGTCCAACAACTTCCAATACAGCCGGGGGCGGTGGGGTAGCCTAGTGGTTAATGCGTTGGCTCGTCACGCCGAAGACCCGGGTTCGAATCCCCACATGGGCACAATGTGTTAAGCCCATTTCTGGTGTCCCCTGCCGTGATATTGCTGGAATATTGCTAAAAGCGGCGTAAAACTAAACTCAGTCAGTCAGTCCAACACTTCATTTCAATATATATATGTCAGGGTAGAGATCCTACTGGTAGAGACTACGATTATATGGAATAACCTATGCAAGCAAGTGCAAGCTTATGCAAGCAAGTATAATAAGTTGGGATAATGTTTTCCTATTATTTGCCAGTTATAATTGAACTTATTTATTGTTATCTTGTTAACTTTATTTGTTAAGTCTGTTTTGGAGTAAGGTATTTTGTTTTTGTATTTTGAGTGGAGTCCAATTTGGCAGCTTGGTCTCATGATGTAAATACAGTGTTACAAACCATTTTTATTTTTTTATTTTGATATTGTTTACAGTGAGGTGTTAAATGTTTGTTATCAAAGTCTCAGTTAAAAGTAGGAAGTTCATTCAGATGTATTTCAAAACTTATGATCAGTAATTGTTATAAAAACACTACTTTCCAAAGAGGTGGGGAAATGACCAGGTGGGGATATGACAGATGGGGTAATGACCTGGTGGGGAATTGCCGTACACCTATCCTCCAAAAATGCCGACATGCCAAGACACCTATAGCTTATAACAACAGATGTAGGTGCAAAAAACAAGGAATGAAATGCTCAACAAAGTGCCACCCATTAACAACTAACGTGTGCCAAAATAAAGTTTGGTACTTATGATTATGCAGTGTTTGCCATGACGCAGAAAACCTGCATATTTGACTCACAAATTATCTCAAATACGCAGTGAATTTATAAGCTCGCGTCATTGTTGAGTCAATTCTCGACCTGGGCTGTTAGTTCAGATAACTTTACTTTAGTTTAAGTTTGAGTACATATTGTAATTTATTGTTGTTTAAAACTACTAAGTTTAATGTTTGCCAGTTAACTGCTCAGTGCTGATTAAATACCTGACCTGCCTTACTTGGACCTGTTGTTATTAAACAATAACAGTTGATCTCTTGATGAAAGAAGTTGACTCCCAAAAACATGTCCATGACTCCCTCTCATGACACCAGGGAGTAATAAATTTGTATGCCTAGGGCAAACACTGATTATGCAATTGATCTTGCTTGTAATCAGTTTTGTAATATATGTATATATTGTAATATGATCTCTCAAGTCACATTTGTATTTTTAGTCCTTAATATATATCTATAGAAGTGGAAACAGTCTAGTGTTATATCTGAATAAAATGCATAGTACTGTTTAGAAAAAGTGTCTTTGTTGTTTACCAACAGATCACACGGAGTTTCTACCAGTTGAAGACGACTGCAGCCTCTACTAGTAGGATCGGAGTTTCTACCAGTTGAATTGGAAAATGTACTGGTAGAATCTCCGATTCAACCAGTAGAGACTACGATTGCAATCTCTACTAGTAGGATCGGAGATTCTACCAGTAGAGACTCCGATCGCAGTCTCTACTGGTAGAGACTCAGTCTCTACCCTGACATATATATATAAACACTGATTCAGTGATATGTAATCACACATAATGAAAGTGTCTTTTAACAAACATACTCACACAAGAAACCAATTTGCATTTAACAATGGCATGTATTAAAGACATTTCTGATTATGATCATAAAGATGCATCATGCTTTGAATTTGATAGGGAATATCTGGAAAATGCAAAAACATGTTGCGAATATTTGTAATTGATGATTGCTCAGTTCTAACACGAAAGGTTTATAACTGATACATATCTGATTTACAACAGTCATCAAGTGTAGTTCTGATTTGCTGAACACCATGAGGGAACCATGGTGATGTGTTGGTTTTACTGCGTTTGAAATGAAACATGAAAGATGTGGAGTCATTTTGCAGCTTGTCCTGAAGCTAGCCTGGTCATGGAGGCAAATGTTTTAAAACTTGAAATGGTCACCACTGAAAATCATATATATCTTGATAGATCCAACATGTATTGCTCAATCCACAATCTGCTCCACTTCATGTAATATTGTGTAACACTAGTGCCATAAATGTTGTTTTATTTCTTACAATTGTTTTTGTTTCAAAGGATAAATTTACTTTTGATGCCTTTCAAAAAACAAAGTTCACATGGCACAATGTAGGCAAACATCCACATTTACTATTGAATATTCTAATGAACTGTATCTGAGAACACCTTACAGAGACAAGAAAAATAGTTTCATTAGACACATGCAAAAAGGAATCTGACTCATCAATGGCAATCAACACCGTGTCTTCAATGCCCCTATACTTGATACACATACCAATTCTAATTTACTTGAAGAGAAACCAACATGCGAGTTTCAGTCAATTACCATGGTGGCTTCTGGATTTATACATACAAATTACTGAAAAACTGTTAGTAATGTTATTCATCAATTTCACATTGTTTTTCACCTAATGCATGGTTTAAAGTGGTGTGGTGTACTTATAAAACTGGTTTCCACAAAAAATGGACAAAAAATGTGCAGTTGCAGAAAGAACCATGCACTCTGGACCATGACCATCTGACAAAATATTGCAGTACCAGTACACAACAAATGCACAACCGGGACAGTGAGCGGGAACTCACCAGTCAGGTGAGCTACAAGTTATCATGGTTATGGATCCACATCTATAGTCTGTTTGCAGTGAAAACATACCGATGAATTTCATATTAAACAAAAATGTAAATAGAATAAAGTTAAATTCGGATTGCGAATCCTCACAATTTTACTTTGCCAACTGAACATTTAAATCTCAGAATTTTATTCAACTTAGGATAAACTTTGTTTAACAAATGATCATAGATTCAAATCGCTATTATTGGTTTTTATTACAAGGGGGTATGCACATAAAATGAAACACCGAGAACAAATAGGGTTGGTCTAAGTTAACGCTTAGCACGTACCGCACATGCATTTGTGTCACTGTTCCAACTACTGCGTTTACCTCCTTGTAATACAAACCAGTAATAGCGATTTGAATCTATGATCATTTCAGAGCTACAGATAACGTTTTGGGTCATTGAGTTATGTACTCGCTTGTGGTCATCTCAATTGGGTATCCTAATTTTCCTTTGAGTAACCCAATAAATTGTACCCACCTCACTCAAACTCAATTGGGTATTTTGTCATTTCCATTAATTGTTAAAATATAATAAAGTTTAAATGTTAGTGTTTGTTATTTATATTTGATCTGTAATATGAGAAACGGTAAGAGAGACTGCAAGTTGCCAAGTTCATGTCCTGAAATAGAACCTCTCAATACCTCAGTTATTTTATCTATCCACCGGTACGCAAGCTAAGATTTGACACTTTTGTGTGTACGCGTGTAACATCACATCTATTGAGTATTTACAAAATTTCAAGCGTACTTGTACGCAATAGACTTAATAGGAATTGAGTTTTCGCATAAATATTTGCGTAATTTACGCAGATACGCAGCTTATCTGTACCTCTGTCATTTGTTTGATCGGCATTCTAGAAGTTGGTGAGTCAACAAATGAAACATACAACTTTATGGATGACAACTTCTGGTTTATTTGCGTTGAGCGACGTTTCGATGTAGATTCTCTTTTAACTTGCTAACGATGTAAGAATCTACATCGAAACGCCGCTCAACGCAAATAAACCAGAAGTTGTCATCCATAAAGTTGTATCATCTGTTAAACAACTTTTATCCAAAATTGAATAAAATTCTGAGATTCAATGTTCAATTGGCAAAGTAAAATTACTAGGATTCGCAATCTTATTTCACTTTATCTGATTTACTTTTTTGTTTAAAGTGAAATTCATCGGTACGTTTTCACTGCAAAACAGACTATAGAGGGTGCTTGGATGCATGTACTACAGCGTCATGTTCAGGACCCTCTCTAATCCATAATACAATACCATCAAAGGAAAATGTGTGTATTAGTGTGTGTTTCATTCTGTTAAATTAAGGTAGCAGAGAAATGGACTGCAACTGTTTGATAAAGCTAACATCTAACTGACACAAGAACCCATGTATCGTGTACTGAGATCAGGCAATCAAGGATGGCTCCAGGTTCACCTCATATGACCTTCTTTGGAGGTCATGTAATATCTTCATGAAAAATGTTTTACCTGTATGCATGATATGGGGAATAAAAGATGTTATTCTAATTAAATTGCTTAACCACATAGGGAACCTTACTAATATCTGGATGGTTAGCAGTTATTTACGTTGTGATTTCAAGATTGAACATGTGAAAGCATCTTCTTTGTTTAATCCTGAGATACTTTATTGATGCTATCATATTTACATGTGTTGTGATAAAAGCTATTTTGATGATCTTCAGTAGCCATGATGTCATGACATGGCGAGTTAACTTGTTTTACCTCTGTGTATCCTAAATGCAATATGTATGAAGATATTGCACATTCTGATTCAAACGCAAGTAAACAGAAATTCTAAATGATGTTCTATCCTGTGAACAATCAGCAGTGATCAGAGAAACACACAACAATAACAAAAATTACCAAAACTTACAGAAATTTTATGTTGTAAAAACTGGAGCATACATACATATCACGGTGCTATCTGCACTTGCATATCAGGACAGTATTGTTCAAACGGAACACTAGGGAAAAGCCAAACAAAGCTGTTGAAGTATCAGATCCAAGATATGATGATAAAAGAAACTCACTCCATTCTAGGAAGTTTTCACAAACTAAGGTATATTAGCATGAGGGGAAATGAAAATGGTTTTCAATGCTGTTGCATACTTCAATTTAAATCAAGATATCAACTGAAAGATATGAAAATGATTAACTAATGAGACTGTAGTTGTGGTTTTGTGCAGATCCATACAAACATTGGCATTTTCTCATATGAGTCAATATTGGTTTTCTTCTATCCAGCCTTTCAAGCTGGTTGGCAGGGGTAACTGTTGAATATGATCATATCGTGTATACTGTCTAATGACAAACCGACACAAGTACTGTAAAGACCGAACTTGTGTAAATCTGGACACAGGTTTAGTCAGTCTAACTGGGAATGAAGGGGCCCCAGGCGAACGTGATCTTGAATAGCAAAAGATACCAGTCTGTGAATCATTCATAGAATGTTCTATCAAATCTACTATGGAGGGGTAGCCTTCTGTGTCAGGCTGTGCATAGAAACTAAACATGCCATTACAGTGCTCTATCCTTGTATGAAGAGTCCTGCCATATGATCGAAAGCTTAAACTCAACAAGTAACGTTCATCAGAACTATCTCTCACAAGAAAAGCACCATCTGGCTGGTTAGCCAATTTTTCTTCTGCTTCATTCCGTGTAATAGGCCCCCAATACCAGCCAAATTTTGATAAGCGAAATAGTTCCTGTGTTAGACTCCACACTTTTGGTTGTTCAAAGAAATCTTGACATGATATTCCATATTTCTGAGACAATTCATAAGGTTCACATGCTTCATAAGTTGGTATCTCATGACACAATACATGAGATCCACGGATATTCCGTCTGCAGTGCAAATCTGCATCATCATAATCGTCACTATGATAGTCTTCTGATTTGTTGTGACCATCCGGGTGGAATTTAGAAATGTCTTTCGTTCTACAACTTGCCTTCTCTTTTCGTACATCCTGATCATGACTGTCCGTGTTGGAATGCATTTCACTGATCTTAGGAGACGTGTATGTTTGCCCATTTGAGTTCAGACTGTCACAACTTTGAGATGCTGTAGAATTTGACCTCACTGACTTGTCACATAACATAAACAAACGTTTACCTTTCTGTTTGGATTTCTTTGTCTCACATTTCACTGACATACTTTGGCACTCTTCTATATGATTACCTTCCGTTCCTTCAGTTTTTCGATGAACACTTGGTGTAAACTTTCGCCTAAGATTCCAAAAAAGACCAATCTTATCCCTCTTTCTGTGATTCACATCGGATTCGGTCGTTGTCTGGTCGTCTGCATAGCTTTGTTGTGATAACACTTGTGAGTCATTCTGCAACACGGCATTGGGACTATCCGAGTCCCCTTGCTTCTCCCGACCGAGTTCGTTTTTTGGCGATGTACCACGCGGGCGTCTCTGTCCCGAGAGCTTTATACCTTTGAAACTTATTTTCTTCATCATCTTCCAGGTTTATATACCACAAAAGATTGCATTGCAGCGCATATATTAAAGCAATATACAGCACAAAACAAGTATCACCTTGTTCCTTCTAAGGGTGAAGCCACTAGGTCTATCTCTGAGCATGCGCATTCAGCACCTTCCGTATTTTGGCTTCTGCAGAACACGCATTGTTTTGTTTACAATTCGATGAAATTCTAATAAGAAATTATCGTAAACATTGCCAGTTTCGGCATATATTTGAATGGGATAAAACAAACAGTCTCTTATTGACTACAATATATTGCGTATTTCTCCACCTCAATTAATTACACCAATGGTTTAATCTTATGTCTTAACTGCTGAACAGTTTAAAAATGGATGCGCCCATGGATTCGGACGAAGAAGATTCGTTTGTCACTCTTGGGACTCCCCTGGAAATTTACGAAGATGGTAACAATTCGTGAACATTTAACAACTGGATAGGTGACGCACTGGCCATTCTTTCCTTTACATCTGCCTCGCTCAATATTTCGTGTTTTTTGTAACCAACGAGATGGGTCCAGGGTTACTCTTAATGTGCAAAATGAACTTTTATGGCGCTTCATCTATCCAAACGTTAATATTTTCCCAGTATTTGGGTGTAAGTCATGATACTTACTTTTCAGAAACCTAAGTCAATATAAATCAAAACACGAAGAAAAGATAAAAAGACAAACACCAGATACCCTGGTTTGAAGTGTTTTTGGTGATGTGTTTACAGGAGAATGCACAGAAACATTATACAGAGAGTACACAGTACAGGTTCTGATAAAACCATTTCATCTTTCATTCCTGTCAAAGGATGTGCACCCACATTTTACCAACAGCACTTGTCAAACTAAGCTGTCACGTGTCGCCATTGCTGCAAGGTGCCATATTCAGATATGTCACCTGTTTTCAGCAATGCCCAAGTGTGAACTTAACTCTGCCGACTTGTCGCGCTGTTCTACCTGATTGTACTGTGAGAATAAAATACCCATTCTTTGTATACCACTACAAAAAGAATACAAGAGGTGTTACATTCAGTGGAAACCTGCATGATTGGATGTCTTCCTCTTGGCTTTGTTGATATTAGAAGAGTTGCCCTTTCCCATAGATACATCCACTCCTGATGTTACTGACTGGTCAGAAAATGAATCATGTTGACTGTCTTGTTTCCTTTTATGCTGATTCTATTTGCCTGCTGTCTTCTGTTTATCCAGATGCTGTATGATATAGTCAGTCAGAGGCCGAGATAAGCTGCGTATCCGGGTAAAATACGCATAGAAAATTTCCATTTACGCATTGAAAATAATTGTTGCGTACCAATTACGCATTTAAAATGTTAGATACGCAAAAAGTTTAAAACAAATGCGTACGGAATATATTTATAAAAATCGCTTCCGTAATGAAAAAGACATCGATTGCTATCAAGTTGTACTGTTAGTATAGGACAAGTGTTGTACTGTCAGTATAGGATGAGTGATTTTTTATGAAATCATTTCCATTATATTTAAGTTGGTTTTGAGTAGGTATGACATAAGGCAGAACATACCTGCTTAGTAAACTTACTCAATGACATAATACTTAGGTGAGTAAAATGACTGAAATACGCACATAGTTGAAAGCAGTGGGTAACGGAAAATGAAATACCCACTCCCCCAAAATACAGTGGGTACAGTACCCACATGAGCTAAATCTTATCTGGAGCTCTGGTCAGTTATGGTCTGGTCATTTATTACTTTACCACCAATCATTTTACTCAAACTATTACTTGGTTTGAAAGTTTTTACATTCTTCAAGACTTCACCTTTCTGAGATTCCAGAAAATCTTGTGCAGCAGAATCAGTATTGTCAACAACACTGATTAAATCAGTTTGCTAGGACCTGATAAAAAGTAGCACTGCACTTAAATGATATGCCCTAAATATAAATATTTTGCAGAACAAAGCCATACTTCCACATAAATTACTCTAATCTTAAAGGGGAATACTAGAAATTTGCAATAACTGACTTGGTTAAAGATAAATTCTCAGAAACATGTACTCCAAGTTTTAATGCAAAAGTACTATTTTATACATATTAATTGCAAAAACAGTTATCTGCTATCTCAGCTTCAGCCATTATGCATATTCCGCTAGCAAGTCTGTGACCTTTTAACCCATGGCATCATAATGTGACTTAAGTCAGCCATAATTGTTAATACCAAGGGCTACAGTAATGTAAACCACCTATTTTCTGTCATTTTTGCAATTGGAAAAATGGGGTATTGTGTAAGGCACCACGAGTTTGGGCGGAAGTTTTCAATTCAATTCAATTTCTTTTATTCAAGGTACTGAAGAGGCCACAGGCCTATAGTACAATTCAAGTGTGTACAGTCAAGTGGTATTTAAAACAAATTTTCTATTGTTGAACCCATGATAGATGTACATTGATAGATTTTTAGCAATTTGTAGATTTGTTTTCAATCGACATATGTCATTCTAAGGTTATGACCCAGCACCATAACTATTTAGAAAAGCTAAATCTCAGCAAAATATACATTGTCCTGACTAGTATTTTATAATCCACCAGTTTTCGGGACATAAAATATCTGCATCACTGATATTATCTCAGCTCGAACAGGCCGGGATCTTGTATGGAGATAGATAATTTATTAATGAGAACTAGGATCCTAATTTTTTTCAATGAAATAATGCCTTGGAACAGTGTAACTTTTGTAGCAGACAATTTCAGTTTCCCCTGCATAATTGTTTTGTAAAACATTTTCTGGGACAATCAATTTGGGCTTTTTTATGAGAAAAATATCCAAGACTCCCTGCAGTCACTTGTTTAAGACAAAAGGAACTGCAATCACATTTCATAAAAAAATCTTTTCTTAGGGATTGGTCATTTATCATAGGGATGGGTGTGCTGGTTGGAACTGTGAAACATTTTGCTGACAAATAAAATTGCTGATGATTTATGATATGGTCTAGTTAAAAAATTATTTTGACATCAAGTGGTGCCTCCGTTTCGCTTCATTCTTCTTCCATCTTCACTGGAAGTTGCTCTTTAAGATGTAAAATCGGCTTGTATTGATACAGCCTAACATCCATGTAAAAATGACACTAGGAAAATCTTTTACTGCTTAAGATTCCATGGTCACTGTCAAGTTGTCAGGTAAAATCAAAGAGGAAGTCATCGGCAATAGGCGCATATGGCGTTATGTCACGTGATACACGCTACTGCTCATAAACTGCTTGGTGTTTCTGTAATAGGTGGAAATACGAGTGTGTTTTTTACGTGTTGATTGTGATTTTATAGCAATGTCACACCTTGAAGATTTAGCCAGCGTATGTCGATGTCTCAAAATCTAGCTAAAACGCTGGTATAAGCTGAACTTTCGATGTGTTTTTTTTTCAATGTTGGGCGTATACATATCATATTCATGATGAATTGGACATATACATAACGTATGAGTAACTTACATAGAGAGTTTTGATAACTTACAGATAACTTATACCAACAAATGCTTAGTTTGTTGCCGGCGTTCACAAATTATGCCTGACGATAGTTTAACTTATGCACAGCACATGGCTGCCACTCGATGATTCAGGGCGGTGGGTTAGTCTACTGATTGAAGCGTTCACTCGTCACGCCGAAGACCCGGGTTAGATTCCCCACATGGGTACAATGTGTGAAGCCATTTCTGGTGTCTCCCACCGTGATGTTGCTGGAATATTGCTGGAATATTGCTAAAAGTGGTGTAAAAAACTAAACTCACTCATTCGACGATTCAGCTTGCTTCAGTGTATATTTAACTTATACAAAATTTACCAATAACTTATTCAACGATGCCAAATGTTTCATACATCGGCATATTCTGGCTAAATCATCACGGTGTGACAGGGCCTTTACCGCTATGAAACAACAACTCAGTTAGTATTCTCCTGCAAGCCTAGTGAAAGGAGTACAGCATTGCATCAAATGAACAACCATATTTATCAACATTGAATGTATCCTGTTCTAAAACATGATAATTATTTCATAGAGGGAACTTTTTAAATAGCGAGACATCTCCAAACACACATTGGTCTGGTAAAATTTTTAGGTAACATATTCCATACATCTGAGTAAATTCACCATATCATTCAGACTTGACAATTACTGTGTGAACATCACAAGCTCAAAGCACTGCATTGACATATATTATTGATAAAATAGCGACACCTATTGATGCATGAAGTTCTGCAGTACATACATTTCTCAGATTCATTTAATTATGCACTGCAACTAAAAATTGAGTTATTTTCTTTGTATTGTCTTGTCTGGGTAAATCCATTTTGGGCTGGTAACATTTTGAAGTTACAGCCCTGATTTCTGGCTGATATTTTGGTTTATTTCATATTGTTGATACTCAAATTACAAGAAAAGGCTAAATGTTTGTTAGTTTTGTCACACTGTGTTTGCTTGGTCCTGTTAGACCGCAAAATAGATAACAGCAGATGGGTTATTACTTCTGTTCATGTTGAAATGAGTACCAGTAATTCCATGAATAATTACTCCCTCATCACCTCCCTCTCTCTCTCTCTCTCTCTCTCTCTCTCTATCTCTATCTCTATCTCTATCTCTATCTCTATCTCTCTCTCTCTATCTCTATATATATAATTCCTCACTTCTTCAAATTCTCTTATATGATTAACCCCCATAAATATAAGATCATCAATTTGTGCAAAACATGTGCAATGTTACTATTATTAGGAAAGTGATACAATTTAGTAATCTTTTAAACAGAAACAAAATAATAAGTGAAACATGAAAAAGTTTGCATTACTGTCAATCAATAAATTTTACTATGAATGTTAACGAAATGGCACCAATGTATGTTTGCATCTCTTGAAAAGTTGTCAAATATTGTCTTCAAACGAATGATGAGAAACTAATCGATCATTTGCTATGTAATGAAAGTAGATGGTGAAATATGTTTTTTTTATGTACATTTACATGTATTGTTTTATTTCTCAAGATACTGAGGAAGTACAAATAATGTTGATTTTTATACAGGCTTTAAAGAACACTTATCAGGGTCATCCTGAGCAGACTGTAAATCTGATTGACCAATGAAATAACAGTTGTAACAAATGTTACCGTGTCCTTATTTGGAATTCAGGGCCGTATGTAAGTCTTCATTCTGCTTATAATTTCATTATAATATTGACATCCATTTGTTTCTTACAAATGCTTACTGACATTGATATCGTACACACACATTGTGAAATATGGCACATTACTGCCATATGTGCGGCCTGGTTCCCTGGGTCTGTTGCGCCTGCGCTACGCTCCGACACTGACCCAGGCAACCACTGTCGAATGGCGGCCTTCACTGCAGGGAGACGCGCCATACATTTACTATAGAAAAATCCGAGAACGGGTGGTTAGAATTTTTTCAT